TATGTAAAATATGTTATTCTAGAAAACAAATATTTTGTATGAAATAATTACCGTGATGTAAAGATTATATTACACCTAGTGTGGCAAACAGTGGTTGCTTTTGAATTAAAAAAAAAAAACAAAAAACTAAAACTAAATAAAAAGAAGACAAAAACAAATTGCTTACAATAATTTGGAGAAGTACAGAGATCACTTGGCGGATTCACAGCTCGCTATAGCCTGAGACTCAAATTTGATGCATGGTCAATAAGGAAACTCACTGTTTCCTACTCGAACAAAATATCCTTTGAACACGCATTATCCATTATTTCATTATAAATTAAATCAATTGCAAATACACGTGCAGAGTAAAACTTGTACAAACAAATGGGGTCGCACATTTAGAATTTTGTGTATAAAATAAGATGCACAAATTAAAGGCCACGTTATATAGAAGATGTGCTTGGCTACAAATACAGTAGTTGGGCCCCTTGGAGTTTCTGCTCAACCATCGAGTGTAGAAAAGTAAGTGAGTGAGTGAGTGAGTGAGTGAGTGAGTAGTTATGTCTGTTTCTTGGCTGGCTATTTATTTCCAAAAATGTATCTGCCGGTCAGCCATTCTCAATTTCAGCGAACTGTGACATAACAATAATGGTAAATTACATAGTACAGTGGCCCCCATGTACTCATGACCCAGCACTCGGAGGGCCGCTCTTCTGCATATTTTCCATCTCTCCCCGTTGCAACACATCTGATTCAAATGATCAGATGATCAGCAACCTCTGCGGAAGCCTGATTTTGAACCTGTTCATTTGAATCAGGTGTGTTGCAACAGGGGGAGATGGAAAACATGCAGAATAGTAGCCCTCCAGGACTGGAATTGCCCACCCCTGGGTTAGATGGTTACGTTTAGGGTTCGAGGGTTAGGATTAGGGTTAGGGTCGTGGTTATGGTTAGGGGTTAGCGTTAGAGGGTTTGGGTTCAAGGGTTAGGGGTTAGGGTTAACACTTTCCCGATCATATGACATCAGCTGTATGATTTTAAAATGTAACAGCAGTTTATAAAATATTAGTGTATTAATAGATAGTTTGTGTATCACAAAGCTGTACTGTGAATACAGTTTGAATTGATGAATTTAATTTCTTTCACTACAGTGAGCAGAGAGATTTGAATGCAGGATGAGTAGCAAATCGACATGTTGTTCCTCCAAAGCTTTTTAAACTTGAGGCCTGGGGTTCACTAAATGATTATTGTGTATGTGTGGATACGCGTATATATGTGTGTGTATGTGGACTGGTGTTGTGCACATCTCCTGAGAATGTATCCCAGCGTGAGAAAATCAATGAGACCAGTGTAACATGGACTCGTCCATCAGCATTTTGTCTCTCTCTCTCTCTCTCTCTCTCTCTCTCTCTTTTGCCATCACTCTATCCCCCCTCTCTCTTTCTCCCCGACACATATCTTTTCTCATATACAGTATAGACTTGATCGACACGTTTTCTTACACAGCGCTCCCACTTCCCTTAACTTTCTCTCAGCATACAATATTGATGTGCTTTTTAAGAGCCCTCTGTCACATTCTAGCGGTCTGCACTCCATTTCCAACCACAGGCAAGAGTGAAAAGAATTTGGCATGAACTCCCATTTCAGCAATGAATGCTACCATGGCATTGGCTCAAGTGCCATTCTTCAAGCCCCACAATCTTCACTTGATAACGAGGCAATATGCACCCAGCGAAGGTCACTTTGCATCAATTTATAAAATAAATTCATCTGATGCGTCCGACTGACTGAAATGGTAGCCGCAAACTCCACCTTATTTCATTAATGTAGAAACGTTATTTCCAGAACATGCTTTCTGCGGCACTCTGGGTACTTCTCTGTCGGCATGTCAAATAAAGCAATGTTGAAGCATGTGCACTCTCAAACACGCAACAGAGTTTGATTATCCCGGGGTGAGTGGCAATTACAGTCGTGCTAATGACAAATAATTTTACTTCTGTAGAGCTACGAAGGGCGTCTGATGATGTGAATAAACTGCAGGAGAGTTCACGCACAGACCATCAAAACACAATGTCTATCCCCGTGTAAATGACACGGCATGTAAATGACAATCTCCTGCTGCTGGAATAATGAAGCAATAGGCTTCTCTTGCGCATACTAGTTTCAATGTTTGCAATATGACAACACATTTAAATGTATACCTGCTATGAAAACAACCTCAATTATATATTGTAACAGCAGGGTTGGAGAAGAAATCGAGGACTTCTTTTTTCATGTATTTCTTCGTCTATCAAGGTAACTGGTCAGTACGTAATGTAAAAGGCATATTCCCCAATAAATTGCATCTTTGAAAAATGTGGATTTTCAAGCATTGTCGAAAGCCTGTGAATCAACCTTCAGCAATAAAAATGAACAAACAGGGCGTTAAATCATTGTGCCAAACGTGATTAATCTATCTCTCTATGTGAAGAATTGACTGTAAAATAAGGAGAAAGTGACAAGGGTTCTCCATTAATCATAGCCTCCCGCAACTACCATGGTGCAATCCAGCAAAAATAAATAAATAAATGAATAAAATAAAATAATCACAATTTAATATTTTTCAAACCTGAGAACAAGTTTGTATTTGCCTTTGGTCAATTTTGCAGACATTTAAATAAGCATTTATTTAAATGTGAATAATTATTCAGATTCACGACTTCTGTGAAAATGCACCTTGACCATCCACAAAGCAAATTGCTACCCATCAATCATTCATGTCTTCTTCCCCCCACCCTTCTCTTGTTCATCTCTCTCTAGTGGCATGTCTTTATCCGTTTGGTTCCCTGGAGCCTCCACTCACCAGGCCTTGCGGTGTAATCTGATGGTTTGTGCGGTTTCTGGGTGTGAGAGGTGATGGGTACAGCAGGATGAGCGTGATAATCTCATGCTCTGGATTAAAGACCAATCTCTAATCTCTCTGGCCAACCTCCGTGTAGGGAATACCTCCGAGGGTTGCAAATTAATATCAACCGACTGTCTTAACTCTGCCCATTGCTATGTCCCAGTTTTTATCCGGCAACCTAAATCAATAGATGTTGAAACAATAGATTGTGATGCAACAGCCAGAAGTAAATTCAATGACCCCCGTGTGCTCTATTATCTAGGATTTAACTCCCGATTTGAGCGTTAATCCTCCGAATGTGAGGATTCATCAAGAGCAGTTGCTTTAGGGATGTCCCAGGTTGCTTAAAATGCAGTGGGTTGCAGTTTAGCTGAAACCTTCTCTCTCTCTCTAAGTGCTGAACATGAGCGCTGACAACTATGCAATATCCATCAGCCAACCATGAAGGTTGCTGTGTCCTGCCTGACATCATGACCTGCAACACTCACAATTAATGTACCGTATCATGGGGTTAAATTGGTGTTAGTAATTCCTCTGGCTAGTTGAGAAGTGAGTGGCGAGAGTTAATTCAAATCACGTAGCGGCTTGGAGGGAACATGATGAACTAATTATCTTGCCTTTCTTTTAAGTGACTAATAAATTTCAAACTTATTTATGGAGTGGGGTCGATTATCAGAACATGCGTCACATATAGCATATTATGTATGCAAGCCAAGGTTCAAATTAAAATAGTCTGACTGATATTCACACTTTTGGACACTCTGTTTGAGCATGGAAAGACAATTAAAATGTTGTGTTTAAAGGTGGAACATCCATCCATTATCTACTGCCTATCCGGGGCCGGGTCTCAGAGGCAGCAGCTTCAGCAGGGAAGCCAAGACTTCCCTCTCCCCAGCCACTTCTTCCGATTTTCCCGAAGGGATCCCAAGAGATCCCAGGTCTTTCCAGCATATCCTGGGTCATCCTCAGGGCCTCCTGCTAGTGTGACATGCCCTGAACACCCCATGGGGAGGTGTTCCAATGCAGACCAAACTCTGGCATATAGTGACCAAATTGCCCTGAGCAGGGGGTTCCATACCTCGTACTCCCAAAGCAACCCCAACAGAACTCACAGAGGAACACCTTCTCCAAGTCCACAAAACACATGTCGACTGGTTGGGCCAACTCCCATGCACCCTCAAGGACCCTGCCAAGGATTTAGAGCTGGTCCACCGTTCCATGGCTGGAGCGAAAACCACACTGCTTCTCCTCAATCTGAGATTCGACCTCCTGGCAGACCCTCCTCAGACAACATCCCTGAATAGACCTTCCTAAGGAGGCTGACGCCTGTGCTTCCACTGTTTTTGGAACATTCATTTAGGTCTCCCATCTTCAAAAGGAGTACCACCACCCTGGTCTGCCAATTCAAAGGCATTGTCCCCGATATCCATGCGATATTGTAGAGGCGTATCGACCACGACAGCCCCACAACATTCAGAATCTTTAGGATTTCCGGGCCATCGATAAATGACACCTGGGCCCCTTTTTCAACCATGTCTCCCCCTGCTGTTTCAGTAATAATGTCTATAAAAATGAAGAACAGCTATATGTTATATCAGGATTTTTTAACCTTAACTGGGGATACAAAATGCTCTTTCCAAAAAAAAAAAAAAAAAAAAAAAAACCTATGAAAATAAATTTATTCATTTTCTGACTGCTTATTTTGTTCAGGGTCAAAGGTGAGCTGGTGACATTAAGAGAGAGGCAGTGTACAATTAACAGAACACGCATGGATTGTTGATGCTCATCTGGAAAATACTGCACGATAAATCACATCTAAACCCATCTTAACTTTGTTCGTAATCATTAAAATGTATTATAATGAAATGTGTAACTACTACCCACTTGGAATGAAATTACATGGACTGGAATTTTCATTTTCACTATCCCATGTTTTAGTGCACAATGTGGGGCTGCTATGCAGTACTAAAGCCAAGATCAACCAAATAGAACCGGAACAGTTCATTTAATATGTTACGTATCTGTTTTGTCTCACTCTTGCTCTGAGACCACATACAGTCAAGGACTGTAATTTGCTGAGGGCATGATAAATCTGTCATTACTATTTTTTTTTTTTTTTTTTTTAAAAGCTCACCTCTGTCACTGGCATGTGTGTTCTCAGGGTTGAGTGTGTCCAGCAGGTGGATGGAGCTGGTAGGTCTAGTTTTGCGGTCCTCCTGTTGATGGTCTGCTGAGCTCACACCATTTTCATACAGCTGGCTTTCGCCGTGCCGCAGATGCCAGGTCAGACCTAACAGGTGGACCGCTACACACAAACACACACGCACGCAATGAGTGCCAAAGGGAGAGAAAAGATTGAGAAGATTAGAATTCAGCGTGTGTAAATGGGCATGTCTGACTCTCCTTTAATCCCCATATCTGGGCAATCATTCATTTTATGTGCTTATTAGTGTCCATCAAGGCAGCGCACAATTAGCAGATGCACAAAAGAACACAGGCAAACATACACACGCACACACATGCGCGGACGCACACCCGGCACACTTTCACATAGATTGTGGCAGAGGTGGGCAATTACCGGAGATCTTCAGAACTTGAGCCCAAGGCTGATATTAAAGTGCTAACACAGTCTTTTGTGCATGACTAATGATGCTTTGAAAGCCGCTGCCGATTCACAATCCATATGGGCCTTTTAAACAACAAAGGGTATGGGAGGATACTGGATTTCCCCCTCCCGCTCGTCAAACTGTTTACTGGGAACACAATCCAACACACTGTTAAATAGAAACAACCAACACCTGCCCATTAAGTAAATTAATTGTCTTGCAAGACTGTCAATAAAACGTTCCATAAAATATTCACCGCGCTCAAACAAATCTTAATGTTCTTTGTATGCAAAGTTACAGTCCTACCTATCTTTCATTGTTACTTGAAACATATCTTTAAAGGAAGCTTTGCTTCACTGAAGCAAAGAAGAAATAAATGAAATAAATCACTGCCAAGTTTTCTTCTGTGACACCTTCAGAACATCAAACAAAAGCGAAGAGTCGAACCACAAAGTAACTTTGCAATGGTGGCAGTCAGAGGCTGTCTGTACGCATTGCAGATCAAAGAACTTCTGAAGACTTCAAACATCTTCACTGTCTAGCTTCCTTTTGTTGATTGGTGGCACCCATAGAAAACCCTTGATACAAGCTTGCTAACTTGCACACAAAATGGCTGCTCATGAAAAAACCAAATGAGACACGATGACCCACACAAGTGAACAGGCTCACGCCAAAACACGACTTCCTGCTCGTTCGCCTCACACATGAATGCCTGGACTCTCACACCAACTTTCTTGCAACCCACGTGAGCTCTCGATCCTCAACCAATTGATGAGGGATACCTAAATAACACACACCATTGATTTGGGACTTTTTGGTGCAGCGCTATACCCTCTCACGGGGAAAACGATATATACGCAACATCTTACTATCTTGAACCAATGTTGGTTTAGCGCTCGACTCACACATGATGAGTTCTTCAAAGCAAAACACTGATGATTTCAAGGGCCATGAGGGAGACGTCATGCGACATTTAGTTCACACTAACGGAAGTTTCACCCTGTGATGAGTCCAGACATGGACATGCACGAATTCTGCACATTGATATGACTACAAGCCATTCATATGAAATGTGCCTTTTTTTTTTTCACTGAACTCTAATTTTTATATTAAAAAGTTTTAGTTTGGGGGGATTTGCCATTAACAAACTGGTGAAAAGTAAATTATAATGATGCCGTAGGATAAGTGATGCAAATGGCTTGGCTTATCTAGTGTGTGCTTGGAGGTTGCCCTTATTTACTGTATCCCATTAATTGACTTTGATCCTGAGTCATTGTGACTTGGTCTCAAATTTGCTGGAAGACTTGTGACTTGACTTGAAAAATCCAGAAAAATCGAGCCTTGACTTGGACTTTAGAGTTCAAGACTCCAGACTTGAGTTAGGTCGAAACTTGATGACAAAAAGGATTTGATGGTTGCTCAGGTTGACAGATTAAACATCAAATTAGTTAGCCAGGGAATGGATTTAGCTATTAAGCAATTAAACCTCTTGCTACGGAGAACCACATGCTCTCAGTTCATAGAATATTGTCATGTCGACTGGGACATCATGAGGGGTGTGCACTTCCGGCTATACAAACTACAGGCAGCCAAACTACAACATCAAACTTTGGTCGTCATTTGAATACCCATCCCGCAGCTGCCAATTGGCAGTGTCTTACTAGAGCTCGTCTGTAAATTTGTTTTTAAGTACTTGGAACTCGTCTTTATCAAGATCTTGCTTTGATTAAAAATGTTAAAACTATCAAAACGCGTGTGCTAAATAAACACATGATTTTATTCTGTCTTTGTTTTGTCTTTGGCAAATCTAAAATGATTTTCTTGTTTCTCAATGCACCAACATCTTTGTTAGTCCTGTGCCACTCGAGTGACAACTCTGTGGCCACAGTCCGTTAACAACTCTCCTAGCCTCTCCTCTTCACAACATCCCTAAAAAGCCCCTCTTGGAATACTTGCCCTTGCTGCTCATCAGTCTTTTTTTTTTTCACTCTTTCTTTTATAGTTGTCGACCTTTATCTTACAACACTTGCCATCTCATCTGTGATGAGGAGGCAAGATGAGGAGAGGATGGTTGTGTGGAGTGGGTGTACAGAGTGAGCATTTGTAAGCACGGCAATATGAATTTCCGTTCTTTAAAGATACAAATACTACATATGTGTGGATTGGATCTGAAAAATAAGCAATGGCAGCAATCACAAAAATGTAAATCGTATTAAGAACAAATGTACATAGCACAGGTTTCTGTCAAATATGACGAGTGCAAATTTATCTTGCATTATTTAACGATTTAGCTTATGAGGACATGAGCAAAAGCAAATCTCAGTTTCATTTTGGGAGGAGAGTAACATCATTTCACAACCTTGTAACATTTACATTTGTAGCAACCTCTGATAGACAGCTGATCCCAAGAAGGCCATCACTTCGAGTCGAACAGACAAGTAAAATCTAAGTAGCGTCCGAGCATTACTTTTTTTTTTTCCGTGCTTAACAATGTTTTGACAAATCCAACTCAATTGAAATTCAGTGTTGTTTCTCATATTCCAACAAAAACAATTTGCACAGTTGTCATGGTGATACAGTACATTGCTGCTCTGGGATTTATTATCGCCTTAGTCTGCCAAAATCAAGAGTAAACCTTTAAGCTCAAACAAGCTATAACGCAAAAGGCAATGTGCGCTTGACGTATACACACATAAATAGAGATAAATCAACCAAACATTGCACAGAGGGCAAGATTAATTTTCTAAATCAGTTGTTGACCCGACAGAGGCACACCCTCCAATATTCTTCACCCTTTTAAATATAATGACAGCCTGCAGATTAGGGGGGGGAAAAAAAAAAAAAAAACATGGCCAAGCTGATGACACCCTGTATAAATAACCTCTGGTGCCCATCTTTGACAAGTAAGTAATAGGTCGGATTTTTTTCTTTTTCTTTTTGTATGAAATGTGATTCTCAAGATTAAGATGTGGTTTCATAGACTTGTTATTCAAAGTACATCAAAATATGTTGCGGTATTTTATTAACCAAGAAAATATTCTGGTTTGGCTACAAATGTGAATCTAACCACAGATGATCTTTGAAGATAAAATCAACCGATCTCATTGCTACTGTAGTATTTACAGCCATCTGCTTTACCCGACTCAAAAAAACACATAAACAGACATAAGAAATAAATAATTAAATAAATAAATAAATACAGAACTACATTAAACCTCAAAATACGATAGCTGAAAACGATGTCCATGACAAAAGAAAACAATCTCACTACCAAGAAGTGTCCCTCCTTCCCTAGCATGCCAGCTGTATAGGAAATTTCAAGGGGCAATAGTTCAAGTGGAAGGATCATGTAAAATAAATAATTATTACGATTTGAGTACCGGTAATGGGAAAGGCCAGGTATATAATACAACACACATGCTGGAAAATTTATGAATGATATATCCATCCATTAATTTTCCGAACCGCTTTATCCTCACTAGGGTCACTGTGAAGTCGATGTGCTAACCACTCAACTACCGGGCCGCCCATGAATGATGTTTATATTTTATATCATTTATTATGGCATTTTGTGACACATGTCCTGTGTGTGAATTATAGAAAAAGCAACACACACGCACACACTCTTTCAAGAGCATGCAGTCAGTTACGTGAGCAGCCTGTGCTCTGCATGAACCTTGCTTGTGCTCTTTTTCTCCCTGGCTGTCTATCCATCTTTCCTTCAGTGTCTATCTTCTCAGCAATCTTACCAAAAGGTGCCTAACGGTGCCTACTCAGAGAAAGTCCAGTCATTATTTCCTAAAGAGGCAGCAGCACTTTGGAGCTAGAGAGCTGAGAGCTGCTGCACAGCAAGCTAACAGGCCAAGGTCCTCTTGCACATGAATCATTGATCAGCATGACAGTGAGATGACTGCCACAGGTAATAGAACGGCAGTGCACTGAGGGGGTTTGGTGCTGTCACTTACCCCCTGAGATTGACTTGAAGGATATGCTTGAAGTGAGAATACAACTCAAATAGAGAGGGGCACTTCGACTTGTAGTACAGTTAGGAACCAATGTATTTGTCAAAATAACCGCTCCCATATTTTTCACGTTGAGAGCTAAAATAAAATGTCATTTGGACCACAGGATTTGGGCTTTGGTGACATTTACTTAGCTTGAAGTTAATTACTTTGCTAGCAGATCTCCTGTAGGTGTATTAACTATTTCTAGAGGGGTGAAGCAAAGGCCAAGGAATACCTGTTAAATACTGATGCTGATTGGGAAACGTATCTTTCGTTTTTGCTACTGAAGTCAGCTTTCATTCTTGCCCGAGTGGAGCAGAGACTTACAGCGCCGGATGTAGCATATGGTGCTGTGGTGAAAAAGATTGCTCAGGGAGGGAGTCACTACCAACTTCATAATAAATATTACTGAGACATACTGTACGATGAAGGCCTGGAGTGGATCTGTATCACCCAGCATCACACATTTCTAGTCAGATGGATAAAATAATTGTTTATGATCTTAGGACCTCCCATCTTAAATAGTATTCATTTTTTACTCTCCTTTGATACCAGTAGCTTTTATTAACACCATTATTAAACCACTACTTAATAGATAAAAACCTCGACTCAGAGGTTTAGTTTTTACCTCTCAGAAAGGATGCACCATGTAATTCATGGCAATTCGACTTCCGAGTTTTGTAATGTTAAATTTG